GGGTTTTTTTTTTTAAACTTTTTTCCAACGCTATTAGAATGTTCACTTTTTATACTATGCTTGAGTATCTCGTTTCCTAAGGAAAATTTGCAACAGAGTTGAGAGTCGATTTCATAAACTTAAGGCTTAAGTAAAAAATAATTGAAAGTGTAAAAAATATAAAGAGCTCGGCAGTCGAAGAATTAACATTGATGTCAATGCTAATAGATATGTCTAAACCTAGTACTTGAAACAAGAAATTATGTTTTGATTGCGGTATCGCAAAGAATCAGATGTATTTCAAAAATTGCACTGAAAACTTCTAAAATAAGTTTTATCCTTTAACCGAAGTACAAAGTGTCGATAAGCCAGTGCGATCGTAAAAACTTTGACCATATTGGTATATTTCGCGCCGGTTTGCTACAAATATCGTCGCAGAATTCAATAATACAGTGCCGAATTTTATCTATATGAGATCTATTTCCGCATATTTTCATACAACTTTTGTAAAAAATTTGATTAAACTCATGAATTTCAATTAATCAATTACGTAAAGCAAAGTGCAAGATATAAAATGATCAAATAAATGCCAACACTTAAGCTAGAATTTTCTCGTTGATGTCCTACTCATAAAAAATAATTCAAATTCTAGGCCTAAGGTAGAAAATTGACTTATAAGTCCTATTATTTAAATAACTAAACGTGCAATAATATAAAAAATATAAAAACTTAAAAATCAATTACAACATGTATACTTCCAACTTTCGAATACCTTCAAGTACTATGTGGATGAGAAGTTTTGCACTTAAAAGCTAATTGTATAATAAACTCAAATTAAACGTCGATGTTGTCTGAGCCATGTATTATTAACAACTATATTTTACATAAATAATAAAGAATAAAATTAAAAGCTCAAAATGGCGGGCCAAAAGCCCCCTACCAGATCTTGGTTATTTGTAAAAGCACACCGTTAGATGGCGACATAATTATATTTTATACATTAATTATTAAAAAATGGCTCTGCCAATCACCTCAAATTTTTTTTAATGCAAATCCTTATCAAGTTTCATCGAAAGGCTTTTAATATTTTGAAAACGATGCAGCCGATTTTGAATAAACACATGTTTTCCAACTTTGATTTCAAAAGATTCAGAATGACTTGGAACATCGCATGTAAATTAAGAAAATCGATTTTTTGGGCAAAAACAAATTTCTCTTTGGGAAACGAGGAAAAAATAGGTAGATTTCTCGTCCGGGAAAAATAACTTTAGTTTATCTAAATTAATTAGGTTATAAACATCAGAATTGGTCTATTTCTAATAGAGACAATTTTTACATGAATGTGTAACTAACAATATAGCAAATGCTATTCATAAGTCCTTTAATTATTACCACATTTAATTATTACTATACTCTTTTGTTGTTTTTCAAATCAATTTAATTTATATGCTATATTCAACCTTTTCATTTAATATTTAATCAGTTATTTAAATTCAAATTTTATTCCCATTTGAAAGATAAAAGCAGGAAAATACATTTTGTTTATATAATTTATAATATGATTTCGTTTGATACTTGATTTGCAAATTTCATTATAATATAAATTTCATTGTAAAATGTTTTTTTTGTGATATTTAATTTATTCAATTTTTATCATTAAGAATACTTCAAATAATTATATTTGATGAATTGTGAGATAGATATATAAAAACATGAATACTGACCCTCACATCTTATGTATCATATTATGGATACATAAATTTTTCAAACAAACAAAAACTTGATTTGTCCAATTTATGTGTTGAATTATTCAACAAAAGGCTCCCAAAATATATTTTTTCTTAACAAAGAATTTAAGTATTATTAAGAATAATAAGTATAGCTTTAAAACAGTTTTTATTCAACTTGAGTTACGAGCATTAAAATTTTATCTGAAAATCTTCAAGAATTTTAGCGCATTATAAACGAATCGCATAAATTCACCGCAATATACGATTCATATCAAAATAATAATGGAGTATGTTAATTTAAGTAATGGCTTTTGAAATAGCAATAAAAACGGTTTTATAATTAAATAACACGATTGTATTATCAAATAAACAGATTTAGTTTTATGTTATTGAAAAAAATATTGGCTTAAACTGGCACTGGCTGACTATAAACTGTGCCGAAAGACCTCGGGCAATTCTAGAGATCGCGATCGTCGGAAATGTATTTTCAGTTACTGCCGGTTCTAAAACATATTCTAGTGTATTAATGAAGCTTATCAAATTTACAGAAAATCATTATAGATATAAATGTATAAATTATGTATTTTAAGGAACACGTTCTATAGTTTGAAAATATGACACCGGCAGCATACTCCTATAATACAGCTGATCGGTTTTATCGGTTTTACAGATGGCAACCCAAACAGTTGTCCCATCCCTGTGTGATGAATTTCATTATCACAATTTATGTAATAGAGTGAATATTTATTGATGCACCAATGCCGTACCAGGACTATTTTCACTTGGAAACATATTGCTGTCTATATTTGCAAGTAAAAACTGACGTCACTACTGCTCGATATCAGGTTGCTCGAAGCTGGATCGAACCCGTGATCTCTATTTCAAGTGCAGTGGTTTTAATCACTTACTTACGAGTGGGTCCACATAAAAATATATACGTTTATTAACACCATAAAAATTCAAATCAATAAAACAAAATTCTGCAAATTCTGTAAACTCTCAATTATTCCTAATCTATATGATCAAAGTTGTGTTCAAAATTAAGCATATCTTCAGAAAACTTAGTTTGAATCTTTATGAAGCGATTACATTGATTGAAATAATTATTGTATTAGCGAAAGTTCACCTGAAGAATGAATCAACATATTAATAATTTTCAAAAACTAAATTATTCCCCTAACATAACTCAAAAATATAATACTAATAATGCAATCATTATTATTAAATTTATTTATTATTGATAATTCCATTTTTTATTATTGTTATTATTGAACCAGAACATGAAAGTTCTATAAGCTTTCGTGATGAAATACTAACTGCGTCGGATTTTTATAAATGGCAATCCAAAAAGTTTTCCCATTAATATGTGATCAATTTTTATTCCTACAAATTCTGTACTAGTGACGATTATTTATGACGATTATGTATTTATTAACCGATGTCACTACTGCTTGACATTAGGCTGCTCAAAGCGGGTAATAAACCTGCGAACCCGGCGATGCGATTGAAATCCCATTGGTCTAACCATTTACGTACAGGCGAGACCTGCATTGCTTATAAAAAAAACATTAAAATCCTCAATTTTTAACAAACGTAGTTCTTCTTTATAACTTTTAAACTTGGGTGGAGTGACTAGGGCGGATGCTAAGCACGCCATTATGAAGTGAAAAAAATGGGAAAAGAGTAGACAATAACTATCAAGGCAGATAGTAAGGCAAAAAATCTCCCTCCCAACCAATTTTATAACATTATTGACAAAAAGAATATATAATGCGCTATATAATTATATACATTCAAATAAAATAAAATTGTAAAGATTTCTCATAAAATGTATATGACTAAAGTACGTGTAAACAAAGTCAACAAATAAACAATAAAAAAACTTTTTAACAGTTATCTAAATTAAATTTTCATTTTCTTTCATATTCATGTTTTATTTCTCATTTCCTTTTTTATATTTTTTACTTTTGACCCTTCGAGCATGTTATATATTTTAATGATTTTTTTTTTTGAGAATGTCTCGTTTCGATTGGGTGAGTACAAGTACGTTCTAACAAATACCACATTGGGTTTAAAAACTGATAAGACTGTTAAAAATATCGAACAAAAATGCACTCATAAAAAACTCAACTTGTCGCGCCTGCGAGTAAACAAAGAAATGCATTCCACCGATAACAGACATCGATTAAAGATAAAAAACGTATTTTTCTAGAAAAATAATGAAGCATTCCATTGAAAATGTTGAGAAATATAGGTGTGTGATTATTAACAAATAACAAGTATAGATTATATGTGCGGCGGTGTATCAACGCTTTCCTGGTATAGTTCAATATTGTAGAGTTCAAAAGTGCAATTCTAAGAATTATTGTATGTTATTGGCATGTGATATAATTCCATGTGGGAGTATTTGTTCTCTCTCAGGCACATTCATAAATAATACTAAGCTCCGGGAACTGCGACAGAAATTATATCGATAAAGTCGTATCAAACGCGTTTCATAATTTCATTTTATTTTTTGCTCCGACAGGGAAATGAAAATATGAATTTCACTCTATACACATTATATATATATATATATATATATATATATATATTTATACAGATATATTAGAATCAACAGGTTTTTTATATAACCTCGCATACATATGGGTGGGGTAAAAAGGAACAACTAAACCTTTATACTGGCAAAGATGTAAATATTAAGAAAATATTACATGAAAAAGTAAACGAAAAAAGCTATTTACAAGAGAAATTAAATTAATAGTTATTCCAACTCCGCTGATGAATATTTTTGACAAAATACGAGATCAAGGTTATATGCAGTTTGATTTTGTCTCAAATATGTCCATAAAATTTGTACTTTGCATTGGTTGAATAATCTAGCCTATTAATTTGTAAAATCCTTATAAATTAAAAATAAGACATTGGATCTGACCAGTTGAATTTTTTTTGAAAAATAGTAAAAAAAAACATATTCAGTTCAACAATGTAAAATAAAATATTAAACTGCAATATTAATATGTTTCAAATCCATTTTTTTGTATTATTAAGTACTATTGACTAATCACATTATAATGAAGCTGCCTGAACTTCTTACTTTTAGAGATTTCATATTTGCCATAATATCTAATAAATATGAATTTTCACGTACCTACTCGATAATTTCCAATAATTTATTAGTTAAATGCAGCCAATGATGTCTCATTTATTGGTATCAATATCAAGCATAAGACGAGACTTGTCTTAACTGATTATTATCATCTTAATGTAATTTTCTTGCGGATTTCTTACCTTCCTGAAAAGAAAAAAATACATGTAAATAACATAACTCTTTATAAATGTTAATAGCTTTAAAATTAGACAAGCAATTATGTAGCAATAGATAAAATATTAAATAAAAAGAAATACATGCACATTTATTTTATAATATACTAGTGATGTGATGTGTCAAGTCGAATCAAGTGATTCGAATCAAGCTTTCGACAACTTGATTTGAACTAGATTTGACTCGATTCGAAACAATTCGTATGAACACAAATTCATAATAATATATATTAATTTATCATAAAATTAAAATTTTGATAACATTTACTAAATAAATACTTCTATGGGTCTCTTTGTCCATATATAGACTTGATTAGAATTAGGTTTTTTTCTGATTAGAATCATTCAAATCAATCATGTTTCGAAACGGCACATCATGTTATGAATCGTTAATTATATCTATAATAAGAGTTTTATCGCTTTGCCAAAGTAAATTATATTGATTTTTCCATCCAATAATAGATAGTAGTAATTTTTCCGCCAATATAAATCTAAATTATAACTCCAAAATATTAAACTTCAAACTATTCCAATAGTTTCCGTTTCAATTAGAAAGCAATAGCAGCCTCTTGTCAAAATGTCTTGCCAAGTTATTATAGATTTAAATATTTAATTTAATTTTTATATATGAATTAATTAATTCATAAATAGTAAGTACGTACAAAATAACGTAAGAAAATTGTTAGTTTTAGTGTAGTATATATAGTAAGTAAGTTAGTTTTAGTGTAATAAAAAAGTGTAAAATTGTAAAAGTACTAAAATTGTAACTTTTGAACAATTGAATAAATTATATATATATATATATATATATATATACATATATATATATTTATATATATATATATATATATATATATATATATATATATATATATATATATATATATATATGTGTGTGTGTGCATGTGTGTGTATTAGCTAGTAAATATATTTAATAGTTTCTAATAACTCGGAGCGGATGTAATAAATAATACTAAAATCTAAACTGTAAATCTTGATTTACATAATATAGTTTACACGAAACCATTCCAGACTTGATTCATGAATAGGTATGATATATATATATATATATATATATATATATATATATATGTATATATATATATATATATATATGTATAGGAGAAATACAAACAAAATGACACATTATCCCTATTTAAAAATTGGCTAGTTTTATTAACGTTTCCGCGACATTATAACACGAAGAAATCCATAATTACGATTGTGTCAGAAGAAATGCGTCATTGGCGTGCTTCTCGAAAAGTTTATTGGAAAATATTTATTCCTAATTATATCAATTGAAATCAATTGACTTAAGCCAGTACTAGTGATTTGGATCAATTTCAATGCAATAAATAGGTGTTTGATGAAATTTTAATTAAGCATTACAGAGTCAAGAAAAAAAAATTATAACCTGTCGAAGGTAATTGGCTTCAAACTTTTACTCCGTGTATGCAAGACATGAATGCTAAAATAATAATACAATACTGTTTTCATATTTATAATATTAATATTTTGTGAACTCAATAAAAAACAATTCTCTGAAAGTTTTAGCTCTTAATATTGTCTTTTAGATAGAGCGCAATTCAATCAAAATTTTGTATGGAAATAGAATGGAAAAAATTTCAAAAATTTTGCAGAGCGTCAAATTTTCAATAAAAAATGGCACAAATTTTCACTTTTAACTCATTTATCGCTAAGTTATACTTAAGATTTTTTTTTAATTTTCAAATTTTTTCCATGTTATTTCCATACAAAGTTTGATTTAATTGCGCACTATCTAAAAGTTAATATTAAGAGCTAAAACTTTCAGAGAATGTTTTTTTATGGGCCCTTCGGAGCAATGAAACTAGAAAATGTCCATATTAAGGACCACCCTCATTGTATATATGTATATATATATATATATATATTTGAATAGTCTTGAATTTGATGTTGATATATATGTTTAATTTGAGTTTAATATTCGGGCGTAACTATTCTATTATCTAATCTATTATTAATTAATTATAATTAATCTATTATTAATTGTAAAATAATTGTAAATAGTAATCTATTTTTATTGATGTTACGCCCGAATATTAAACTCAAATTAAACATATGTATATATATATATATATATATATATATTCCATATATATTCCATAATCAGTCTGTTAAAACACAGATATCTTTTAAAAAATGTCTGTGTGATTTACGACATAAATCAAGAAATGCTACAACGAAGACAGAGCGATAGGCCGACAAGAACATTGCCAAGAAAACGTGATTACGGATGCCATAATTCAAAGGAATGTTCATTTTTCGTCAAGAGTTGCGTCTTGATGACTGTTTGTAGGTTTTTAAGGTCCCAGATGAACCTGGGAGATCCCCGTGCAGCCATTCGGACGCCTTCGCAGCGTCACGTGCTGCGTTATTCGCATTGCTCATTGCGAAGTACGTGCGACGTGCGACGGCCGATGCGTGTGGGGCACGAACGCTAAGGGATAATCACGGTTCGCTTTTTGGATATATTTTATACGTAAACCCATTTGTAAAAGAACTAGCTGTAAGTGGAATTAGGGCATCGTGCCTTAAGGCAAATTGCTGGAACTTCCCGTACCAAAAATTATTATTTTTTTTAAAACAAATAACATTTTTGAAAAAAATTTACTTTGAAAAAGATTTTTGAGAAACTATAAATTTGACAAAAAGTTACTTTTTTTTGAAAAAAAAATTTTTTACTTGAAAAAAAAATTTTTTTTGAGAAAAAAAATTTTTTTTTGAAAACTAAAAATTTTTTTGAAAAAAAAATGTTTTCTTCATTTTGACATATGTTGGAAATTCTGAACTTTTTTTCAAAGCATTCGCACTGCTTGAACTGCATAGAGACGACATGCGCGCCGCCGTCTAACGCATAAGCATTGGTACGGAACCCATAGAAATGTAAAAAAAATGTATACTTATTGTTAAAATCTCTATAAAATATCTGATAATTTGATGTGCATGAGTCTAATGATCATTTTTGATCGCCAAATGGCATTTTTTTTTACTTTTTTCATTAGATCTCCGAAACCGTTAGACCTGCCTTTATGAAAATTTGATCGGTTTTTCACCTTGTCAATATAAGTAAAATGTTTTTTGAATTATTAAAATCGGACGCTCCGTTCTCTTAAAAACTGAGTTACCGTTTTCGGCACTTTTTGCCCCGTATCTTCAGAACGGCTAGACCTCCCTGCGCCAAAAACTAATCAGCACGTCTCCTTATTAATACGAATCGAATGTTTTTTTAATTATTCAAATCGGATGATCCGTGTTCCCGAAATCGTCGAGAAAAATTTGTATCCGCACATACATACACAGACGTACATACATACATACATACATACATACACACACACACATACACATACACACACATACACACACATACATCCATTTTTTCTAAGGTATGCCAAAATGTTCAGAAACCTTTGAAACGTAAAGATATATAAAAATTTTCATTTTCGATTTTTTTGCGATTACTATAACTTGCCCTACGGGAAGTTAACTAGTGGTATATGGCCAGCCCTTTTATTAACTAGCGGTGCATGGCATCGTGCCTTAAGGCAAATTGCAGGAACTTCCCGTACCGCAAATTAAAATTTTTAAATAACCTTAGTTTTGAAAACTTTGAAAAAAATGTGATTTTTGAGAATTTTGAAATTTCTGAAAAAAAATACTTTTTTGAAAAATTAGTTAATTTAACTGTTTTTAAAGCAATCGTGCTGCGTGCCTGTTTCAGAAAAAAAATGTCGAAGCGCGTAAGCGCCGCATCGCAGTCTAACGGATAAACATTGGTATGGAACCCCTAGAAATGTAAACAAAATTCGTACTTTATTAAATAAAATATTTGATAATTTAATGTGCATATGTCTTATGATCATTTTTGACCGCCCAATGGCATTTCTTCATTTACTTTTTTTACTCGATCTCTGAAACCTGCTTTGCTCAAAAATTTAAACTGTGCTTTTTTTGTCAATACAAATAAAATGTTGAATTATTCAAATCGGAAGCTCCGTTCTCTCAAAAACTGAATTACCATTTGTTAACGCATTACTCAACCCTGGTCTAATGAAATATTATTATATTTTATTACCTTCATACAGGATAGCAATAATAAACCTTCATCCCTAATTATATAATTTAGAAATATTAAATAATCCCTCTCATTGTCATGCATCCTGTCCCTAAATCTATCATCATACTATTATATTAATACATTTTTCTAAAAATAAGAATTTCTAATCACCTGTTCCCGGTTCAATTCCACGTACCATGGAATCACCGGTTAATATCTGATTGGTCAAAAATGTAATGGAATGTCGCTTGAACCCACAAAAACAAACCAATCAGAAAATAATATAAAATTGTAAAATCATTATGATTTAGTAATATCTAAAATTTCATCGAACTAACATCAGCCTAAAATCAACACTGAAATGAGTAATATCTAAAATTTCATCTAACAAACACGTATTAATTCAAACTTCAACTAAGTAACATATCATCTATATATCTTAAAATTTAAATATACAACAATTAAACTACTTATCATATTTTAATCGGTCTGATATAGCCATTATCTTAATATATCTGGTCCTTCGAAAATATAAACAAAGTGTAATTTTCAATAGAGTTCCGCAGCATCTCGGTGGATCATGAACTTCTATACATTTTTGTAATCTATCTTGTACAACACCATTTTTGGCTCTTTTTGAACCGTATCTTCAAAACGGCTAAACTTTGCCTTTGCCAAAAACTAATCAGCACGTCTCCTTATCCATACGAATCGAATGTTTTTTAAATTATTCAAATCGGTTGATCCGTGTTCCCGAAATCGTCGATGAAAATTTGTATCCGCACACACACACGCATACACATACACACACATCCATTTTTTCTAAGGCATGCCAAAATGTGCAAAAGGGTTTGAAACGTAAAGATAAATAA